AGTTCGCACCTATTTGGGGAGAACCGGTTGGTAACTTTCTAAGCAGTTGGGAGAACCGGTTGTTGGAAGGAAACTTATTTTGGTTTTTCCCCCCACTTTACAGGGCTAATCCTGTAAGGAAGGCAGGAAGGAAACATTCTGGTGTTGTTTCTAGCCTAATCTTTATTGCCCTGCTTACAGAAACTGCCTCTCCGGTTAACCCTTATTCCATTGCAACAGCTAAGGAGAAGCGCCCATCGACGTGAGTGATGTTGAGTTGGCCACGCCCACCCAGTCACATGACCACCGAGCCACACCTACCTAGCAGGTCACTAGGGCAGAGAACCGGTTGTTAAATTATTTGAATCCCACCACAGCAGTAAAGAGTAACTGCCTATAGAATAGGAAAGCTAAGTCAAAAGAATTAAAACAGCAGGAGAAATGTTTTGAGCTGTCCTTCAACTGTGGTTAGCACTCAAGTGGCAATTTAAACCATGTGCGTGACTCAAACTTTCTAAGCCAAACTTCACTCCCAGATTTTACAAAAACAAAAAGTTCATGAAATCCCAAGTGAATCGATTTTGAAAAAAAAATCTATTTCGTTTAAAAACGCACTTTAATTTAACAGGAGATCATTTTTGGAGGCGAACAGTCTTTTAATTCTGGGTGCCCTGTTGCCACCAACTATTTTCAGGACAAGCTTACGGTTAACTTGACTCCTTGTTCAAACAACCTGTTTTAGTCTTGTGGGAAGAAAAGTCCTTCTGGGTTCAGTTCCAAGTGGGGGGAAAAGACACTGGAAACGTGGAGACTGCTTGGAAAGATGGTTTAATGGCGGACAGGATCACATGGCTTGAGTTCCTGAGCAGAGAAAGGGCAGAGATGCTGAAAGTTCCTGCTTTTATGCCCTCTCTATGCTTTGAACTTGAATTGCTTGTATTCTGATTGGTGGTCAGACTCCCAGGGGGCGGTGCAGGGGCAACTCTGTAGGATGTCTCCCAAGCTTGGTTGACTTGCTGGGTGATGATGTAATCTTCCCAGGTGCCATGTGGTGCAGGAATGGGTTCCAGCCGCCATTACTACCGGTTTGGCGCCCAAAATATTTTGCTCCACGTGCATGCGCATTTGCACTTAAAACAATCTGTGCAGGTGCACAAGGAATAAAAAATTACATTTTTCCAATGAAGATTGTTCTGCGCATGTGCAGAACAGAAAATCAAGATGGCACCACCGAGGATTGAACTGGTATGCTCACTTGTCTGCTGGAGTTACAACTTATTCAGTCAAACCAGACCAAATAGGTAGGAACCCATCTCTGATATGGTGAGATGGGTGAAGGGCTAACACTATCGTGTCCTGAGGCCCATGCCTAAATCCCATCACCCTGGAGCTGAAGGGGGAGGTCTTTGTTATGTAGAATCGACTGGCTCAGACCTTAATGGTTCATTGACAAAGGTGGGGGCGGCTGATTTTCTGCCTCTCTTGAGTGTCTACTTCCCTTTTGAGGGGAAATATTCTGCCT